CATGTTTTCAAAGTTCACTCACGTCATAGCATGTAGCAATACTTCATTCTTTTTTTGTGGCCCAGTAGTATTCGACTGTATGGCTATGCTACATTTTGTTTATACATTAATCCACTGAGGAGCATTTGAGCTGTTTACACCTTTTGGCTGTTGTGAATAGACTTCTATGTGCTTTTGTGTGTACAAGTTATTATGTGAAGATATGTTTCGATTTTGTGGGGTATATACCAAGAAGTGGAGTTGCTGGTCATATGGCAATTCTATGTTTAACATTTTGAGGGACTGCCAAACTCTTCTCCACAGCATCAGATTATTTTACATTCTCACCAGCAATGTAGAAGAATTCCAATTCTCCACATCCTCATCAACACTTGTTTCTTTTTTTTTCAGTAGCCATCTCAGTGAATGTGAAGTGGTATCTCATTATGGATCTGATTTGCTTTTCTCTAATAAGTAATTATGTTGAACATCTTTTCATGTGCTTATTGGCCATTCTCCTATTTTTTACAGAAATATATATATTCAGTGTATTTGCCCACATTTTAATTATTTGTCTTTTGTTGTTGGGTTATAAGAGTGTATTGGATATTCTAAATACTAGACCCTTATCAGATTGTGATTTGCAAATTGTTTCTCCCATTTTCTAGGTTGTCTTTTTACTTTCTTGTTAATGTGCTTTGATGCAAAGTTTGAAGCAAAGTTTTTAATTTTTATGAAGTCTAATTTATTTATTTTTTCTTTTATTGCTTGTGGCTTTGTTGTCATATAGAAGTAATCAATGCCAACTCAAAGGTCATGAAGATATTCCCTAAATTTTCTTCCAAGGGTTGTATTGTTTTAGCTCTTACATTTAGGTCTTTGATTCATTTTGAGATGGTTTTTTTCATTCTTCTTTAATTTCTTCCTACAATATTTTGAAGTTTTCAAATATAAGTTTTGTACTTTTTTTGTTAAACTTATTTATAAGTATTTTATTATTTTTTATGCTACTTGAAATGGAATTTTTGTCTTAGTTTCATTTTTGAATGGCTCATTGCAAGTATATAGTAATATAATTGACTTTTGTATATTGATCTTGTGTCCTGCAGCTTTGCTAAACTCATTAGTTCTAATATGTTTAGTAGATTTCTTAGGATTTCTTAAGCAAGATTATATCATTTGTGAAATATAGTTTTACTTCTGTTTTTCCAATCTAGATTCCTTTTATTTCTTTCTCTTGCCTAATTGCCCTGTATAGAACCTCTAGCATAATGTTGAGCAGAAGTGGCTAGAGTAGACATCTTTGTCTTGTTCCTGATCTTAGAGAGAAAACACGAATTTTAAAATTCTTACAAAGCCTTTCTTCATCTACACTCTCTTGAGGCTTTAACTTTTATGTAACCTGAACTGTTTTAGAGCCGTATGACTGGTTTTTTATGACATCCTGAACAATATCTGCAAGGTATGGTTTGGATGTTTGTCTTCTCCAAATCTCATGCTGAAATGTAATTCCTAATTTTGAAAGTGGGGCATAGTATGAGGTGTTCAGGTCATGGGTGCAGATCCCTCATGATAGCTTGGTGCTGTCCTTTGGATAATGAGTGAGTTCTCACTCTGAGTTCAGGAGAGAATATGGTTGTATAACAGTGTGTGGTACCTCCCATCTCTCTCTCTATTGCCCCAGCTCTCACCATGTGATGTACTGACTCCCCTTTCACCTTCTGCCGTGATTGGAAGATTCCTGAGGCCCTCACCAGAAGCAGACGCTGGCATCATGCTTCTTGTACAGACTGCAGAACCATGAGCCAAAATAAACCTCTTTTCTTTATAAATTACCCTGACTCAAGTATTCCTTTATAGCAACACATATTGTCTCCCTAGGATAAGATGCATCGTGATTGCCTATGTGAAGGGAATACATATATTCAGCTAACATGTGGAAACATCTGCAGCATGTTTAGAGGGTTATTAGGCAATGTAAGCAGCTGTTTCCACTGGAAAACCCAGAAAATGTCTATTTGTATGGATGCCATGTTTTAATAACTAATAAAACTTCAAATACAAAATGGAGGAAAAAATTTTCAATACAAAGGAAAGATCGTGTGTGCCTTTCTCACTGTTACTCCAGATAGGCCCCTGGATTGACACCCCAGTTTAGAACCTTGGCCACTCCCTCTTTTCAGGTTTTGGAGAATATGACTTCGGAGGAGCTAATCTGGACACCTACTAACCAGGTAAAGCCCAGTTTCAGCCCAACTTGCCAGAGGTCACTATCCCAGTTAACACAGAAGACAGCAATCGTTCTTTGAAAGGACTAGTGACACTTTTGGGTAGGGTCCATAAAAAAAGGGTATGTGGTGGGTGCAGGACCACAAAGGGGGACTTTATTTTCATTTTCTTAATAATGAGTTGGTTTACAAAGAATGAGAATTTGGTAACAGTACAAAAGGTATGCCTTATTATTGCTGTGGATAAAATATATTCTTATTAGGGAGAGAGGCAGTATCAAACTACTTGAGTGTCAAACCCCACTGGTATGCCCTGTGTTTTTTTGCTTCGTTTGGATTTGTTTTGTTTTCAGGATACAACATAGATACAGAACAACTGATGGATGGTTTCATACTGTGTGCCTGGACCTAGCAAAATTTTGGAGTTGTTTGGATCTTTTACATAAAGATTTTTGAGAATAGGGAAGAGGAAGGACGATAAACTTGCACAGACAGCCATATTTATTTTTATGTCCAGAGGAGAGAAGTGTGAAAAAATGCTTAGGATAACCTATCACTGAGGCAAGGAAGACAACTTGAGAAAAATATAATACACGAGACCATCTTTTTGAAATGTTTAAAAGCTTTCTTATGTCCTCTGGGTACAAGGACTCACCAATGATATTTGTGTGCACTATTTTTTTCTTTGTTTACAAAACTTAGTGTGAAACAGAGCACTTGCAGAGCCTGGGACAACTTCCTTATTGAAGGGAAGAAGGACCAGCACACAAGGCTAAGGCTGAGGGGCAGTCACTAGCACCAGGAAGAAGGTGGTAGGAAGAGTCCTAGGGGCTGGTTTTACCCTCCCACATACCCTGTGTGCATCGTTTTTTAACATGTATTGTTTGTAACATGTAATATATCTGAATTTTAAATGGGGGTGGTGATTTATCTCAGTCTTCCTCTCTGCATCAGTTGCTTTATAAATGATTGTTAAACCAATAAATACACACAAGATAAAATTTTATTCTAAGGCTTCATGAAAGACTTTTCCACAGTTTTCAACTTTTATTCTTTCTCATTGTAGATGTGTGAGCTAGTGCAAAATTTTAGGAGATTTCCATAATTTAAGGATGGCCCATTTTAGAGGAAACAGCACAAGTCACCTCCCTCGTTGGTGGGCCCAGGGAGAAATGTAACTCATTTTCAGAAATAACTGAAAGTGACAGATAAGAAAGAAAGAATAGGATCCAGGGAAGGAAAAGAGATGAATAAATGCAGACATTGGGTGGCTCAGAAACAAGCAAGTGATCTTGTTGTGCCCTGGTGGGCAGCATTTTAATTGTCACTGATGAGAGCCTGGGGCTGGCTTGGTGACTGCTGGAGAAATGATATGGAGCAGACCCAGACTCTAACATCTTAATTCCAAATGAAGAAAGATAATCCATAGGTTTAGATGACTCGATGCTCAGAAAACAAATAGAATTAAAGAAAAATCTGGTCCTTTTTCTTCCTATCCATTTCTCCCCTAACTGTTCTCCCACCACTCTAGAACTGTTCATTCATTGATTCATACTGTGATTCAATAGCATTTACTGGCACTTACTGTATATGATACTGTTGTTCTTTGTGTTAACAATGTTACAAAATAATGAATGTCATGGTTCCTGAACTTTAGGAGTTTATATTCAGACTATGTAGAGGAAACTGTCATAAATGAAGCAGCTGAGGAACAGCGTGGCTACAGCCCTGCCAGGAAACCTGCAGGGCCTCTCTCCTCTGGTCTGACAAGAGCACTTCAGACATTTTTCTTTCTCCACTTACTGCCTCTCTTCCAACTAAGAAGAAAGATATAAAAATAAGACCCTCCCTGGATCTTGCACTAGCAGATAAAGACACCATCTTGGGCCATCGGGTGAAAAGGCAGGAGCTGTCCTCACACCATTTATCATCATTCTCCTAACTGGGCTTCAGGTCACAAAATTCCTCCCTTGTCACAACCTTCTCAGGAACTTTCCATTAGTCTGTTGTGTTTTTTGCATATGCAACTTTTCTGTCAGCTAGCAGCTTCTCACAATCTTAAACATGTTTATTTTTAACTCCTTATTTGAGCCCATATGCTTTTGCAGCTACTTTCTTGCCTCTTTCCTTCTGCTATGGTTTAGACGTCCCCTCCAAATCTAATGTTGAAATTTGATCCCAATGTTGGGTCCACTTGCAGGAGGTGCTTGTGTCGTAAGGGTGAATCCCTAGTGAAATTAAAGCTCTTCCTCAGAGGTGAGTGAGTTCATTCCTACAAGAACTACTTGTTTTAAAAAACCTGGCACCTCCTCTCCCCCTCCCAGCTTCCTGTCTCACCATGTGCTTTCTGTACAGGCCTGCACTCCTTCACCTTCCACTATGAGCAGAAGCTGCCTGAGGCCCTCACCAGATACAGATGCCCAATCTTGAACTTTCCAGCCATCAGAATCACAATCCAAATAAACCTGTTTTTCTTCATAAGTTACCCAGCCTCAGGCATTCCTTTATAGCAACACAAAATCAAAAGGCACCTCCCTTTCATACCCAAACTTCTCAGCAGTGGTCTCCTTTCTGTACCTTCTGCTCACTTATCTGGATTGATCACTGCAAATTTGGCATTGGTAACTATTCACTTTTTTTGGAAACATTCTCTCTTCCCTTCCCTTTCTTAGCACCATGTTCTCTTGATTTTCCTTTTATCTTTCCGGCCCTTTCTTTTTCTTTCTTTCTTTCTTTTTTCTTTCCTCTTTTTTCTTTCTTTCTTTTTTTTTCCTTTCTTTCTTTCTTTCTTTCTGCTAATCATCCTCCAGCTGACCATTAAATACTGGAATTCTTTAAGGCTTATTCCCAAGCTTCCTTTTCTTATGCCACTTTCACCCATGGGATGTCTCATCCATGCTAAAAATTGTAATCACTGCCTGTATCAAGATGATTTATACGTTTGTAAATGTAGCCTAGATCTCACAAGAGAAATCCAGAGTCATGTGTCCATTTTCCTTCTTGTTGTCTTCACTTGGGTATAATCGCTATCTGTGTGAGAGGCATCCGCATTAATATAACAGCAAACCAAAACTCAGGAGTTACTCTGGACATCTTCCACTCTCTCACTTAGTTATGGGGTCTGTCAGGTTTATTCCCTAAATCAAATAATCCACCTAAATCAAATAATCCATTCACCTCTCACCATGTCTATTCCCTCATGCCAGAGACCATTGTTCTCTCCTGGACTACACTGTAAGCTCCTACTCCAACCTAATCTCTCATGCAGAGTAGCCTTTGAAAACAAGGACACTTCCCACTGATTTCAAAACAAAGACCAACGCATTCACTGGGCCCACATCATCCTGTGTGCTCCTGACCTTAATTCTTCTACAGCCTCCTCACAAATCATACTTCCCTTATTCTCTATCCTCTGGGATACCTAATTGCTCCTTCCTGCCATGAAACTTTAGCTTATGCTGTTCTTCCTTCCTCAAACGTTCTCCCGTCAGTCTCCCACACCAGTTAACTATTATCCTTCAGATCCCAGCTCAGCTGCAACTTTGCAGGGGTAGCCCTTCCTTACATTCAGATTAGTGCACTTATCATCCACTCTCGTAACCCATGTAACCACTTGTTATTTCTACAGTTATTACACATTCACTTGTGTGATACTTTGATTAAAGTTATCTGCCCTCCTGAGATACTGAATTCCTTAATACTGTGTATGGTTTTGATTTCTGCCATCCCCACAAGGTGTGTGTGCATTAATATTCATTTCGTGTTGAAATGGTTTTACTGTCTTATGATCCTCCATGCTGCCCATATAGGGGCTTTAACAAAAGCACTACACACGTTTCTCCAGACATTTGGAGTGAGGTTAGGGCAGTGTGTGTCACATACATCTTTGGAAGGCATTTTAGGTTAATGAGGGGAATGTTGAATGGTTCCACATTGAATTGAATCCTACTGAATGGTGTGTGGGATTCCAACAGTCAGAAGGGCACACGAAGGCAGACATCATGGGTCATTGTCCAAAAGCAGTGACACATGAAGAACTGTTGGAAGGGCTAGAAGAGACACTGGGCAATGTCCATTCACTAACATATTAAAGATCTGCACCGAGCCAAAAAGCAGATGTGGGGCAGAGGTTAAAATGGCCAGAAAGAAGGTAACTGTCCAAAAGCTGATTCTGGAAGCACAGGTATTCCAGAGGCGGCTCTGATTCCAAAGCTGGCATCCACAGAATGGAAGTTGTCGGAAAGAGTTAAAGTGTACTATCTTGCTCCAATTAGTTGCAGACATGTTCATTCCTCTTGTCATGATGGAATCATTATTGTTCTTTCCTCCTTGACATTTTTCACCAACAATGGAAAACACTATGCATTCTGTTGTTTGGGGCTTTCTTTTGATGACAGCTCTGAGGAATCATCTTCTGCATGTTGGGCACAACTTGTTTGTGATTCTCAGTTCTCAGTCCCAAGGTCTGGCTTCCTCTTTTGCTTTGGAAAGAAATTGTCCCCAACCCCTGATGCTTTTACCAGGATAACAGTGGAAGGGTGGAGAACACAGAAATCTCAACACACCTTTGCTTTTGGTAGCTTGCAATTAAATAACTAGCCTGTTTTCTTCCTCTGTAAAATCTCCAGGCGTAGTAAAATCTTTAGTATTATATACAGGGTCTAGCTAACAGCTTACCAGTCAAGCAGGCATGAAAGGGAAATGTCTCTGAGGGAAAACAATGAACAACTAAGCACCAGGATCTAGCACATCTCTCGTTTTGCTCAGAGGTGGGTGAATGTCTGCTCTTTAGCCCAGTCCTGTACATCTGCTCGGCCAAAGATGAGGTAGAAAACCAGGCCCGATATGTTAACAGCAGCTGAAAGCAAGAAGACATTTCTCCAGCCAAACTCTGAATCCTAGAGGCAGAAAATTACAAGTTATTAACTGTCACCCAGTTCTTGTCCCTCTTGGTCCAGAAAGGCTTTGGCTCTGTGTCCTACTGCTCCCTCCTCGACCTCCACTCTGGCTTCCATGGGCTTCCCAGTTGGTCCTGGAATACTCAAGTACATTTCTGCCATGAGGCCAGAGCACGGCATTTCCTTGGCTGGAACACTCCTCCCCCAGATATCTATTTGTCTCATACTTCCACTTCCTTTCAGTCCTTGCTTAAATGTTCCTTTTCAAGCAAGTGGTTACGGTGAGTCCTTCCTTGACCATCGTGATTAAAATAGAAATTACACCCCTTGTGTGCTATTCTCCTTTTAGCATTTGCTAAGCATTTGCTATTCTCCTGTTACCTTCAATATGTCATATGTTTTATTTTCATAGATTTCTTTCAGTTTCTTTTCTACAATATAGGTTTCACAAGGGAAGGAACTGTGTTTCATTCACTTAAATAGCACATGGCACATACTAATGTTTAATACTTATTTATTGAATGAATGAATGAATGAATATGTCAATGAATGTCAGGAGAAACAAGAGCAGTTTGAGGATTTCCATTTTAAACAACCATTTCCTGACAGCTTGTTAGTCAGTGCCTGGGAGGGAACTGAAGCTTCAAAAAAGATAAGCGCCTTGATTTCATAAAGAATACTCTTTCTTTGTTATTCTTCATTTATTTTTCTGATTTACTGGTGCAAAACCACAGGAAAGTCATTCTTTAACTTTCCTGTGGTTTTTCACTGTAAGTAAATGGTATATGGCAGTGTTTTTCAACAGTAAATGAAGTATATGGCAGAAAAGAAGAATGCCACATACTTCTCTATTCATGTAAAGTTTATACCAGTAAGATTCTTAGGAAACTTAAGAGTCTTAAGTTTCTTTAATCTTTAAGTCATCATGTAAACTAGTTTATTTTTCACTACTTTAAATGCATCTTGTAGGATACAAGGCCGTGCAAATGTGAAAACACCATGCCTCTATAGGTTTCTCTTATGAATATTCATCAGAACATTTGACCTCACCTGACTGATGAAAAATCCAGCAGCAGTGGGAGAGATGGCTCCAGCTATGTGTGCAAAGACTTGTAATAGTCCTTTGAGAAAGCCAGTGTACCTGAGAGAGAGAGATCGTACTCTATTATACCCAAGTATACCTACATTTGAAAGTCTCAATACCTGAGAGAAGGAGGGAAACATTCCCGTGCAAACAAAGGGTTAATCTCAGCTGGTCTGTTGCAACTCTGTGCTTATCTGTGGGGATGGCTGGAATTGTGTAAGCCTCGGTGAAACCTGAATGAAATGTACTGACTAAAGATTAGTATAATCCTGTGCTAGGGATTGGTACTCCCAAGGGGGTAACCTCTATTAACTTGTCAACATTGTTTATGCAAGATGGTCAGATTGATGGTCTGCACCTGGTTTGTAAGGTTTTTGTTGTTGTTGCTTTGGCTTCTGCTGTTGAGTCTGATCTTGTAACTTTTATACCCTCCGTGGGTATAAAAGACCCCTCAGCAGATGAGAGATTGGCTCCTCTGAGACAAAGGCATCTCTTACATTTCTTGGTGGTTCATTATCTGAAGATGAAGGATGTCCTGTTGACTGGGACAGGACCCTGGGAGCTATGTTTGTAAGTCTCAGTCAACTCTGTATTTACTGTATCAGAGACAGATATTTCCCCTGCAGTCCTGTGTCCTTTGCCTTTATTAAAGATTTTCATGAGCATGCCCTATAGAATCTCAAGAATTCTTTCAGTGATTCCACCTTAGGAAACTGCTGCATTCCTCAACAGAGAGAGATTTGTGTGAGTCTCCCTCAGTTGAATCTGAGCTTGGCCGCTGACTCCTCTTGTTCATGCCCAGAAAAACTAAGTTCACAATGGTTGACCAGCTTTGAGTCTCTTCCAGGAATTATTTAGATGTAGGGTGTAGAGCCGGTGCTGACATTTCCTGCAACCTGTTGCACCTGCCAATTTTACTTTCACATCGGAGTATATTTAGGGCTGCTAGACTTGAACTGAGTTTCTGAGAGGATGAGGCAAAAGAGGTCCCTACCGAGGAGCAATATCCAAGAAGTTAACAAGGGCTCCTGATTCACAGAAGCTGCTGATGGCAGAAGACAGCACCAAGAAGGTCATGGTCATGCTGTGGCTGGATCTGACCCAGGGCAGGGACACGAGGATCACAGATGGGAAGAGAACCCCTGGGGTAGGAGGACAAACACAGAATAAACTGGAGGCTGCTCTGAGCTTCCCACATTCACCCCTGTGTCCAGCCTCGCCCTTACCAATGGCAGTGAAGAGTTTCCTGATGGTGATGAGTCTGAGGATTTTTCTGGAGAGAAGAAAGTCTGCCAATAGACCTCCAAGGATAATGCAGATACATCCAACAACAAACGGCAAGGCAGACAGGATCCCACTCTGAGGACCAGAGACTAGGTCAGGTACATGTGCCCTTACCACCCACACCATGACACAGACAACCTTGGACAGATTGTCCACATTTGCAGCTTTTCTTTATATACACATCACTTTTAATACAAATTCCATGTTACTGTAATGAGCCAATATAGTTTTAGTATGTATACGTTCATAGCTCAGCTTGCAAAAAAAAAAAAAAAAAAAAAAAGAACGAATGCTCTCTTTATATATAAAAATCACCTGGAAATAAATATTTAAATGACCAAAATCCAGTAGAAAAATAGGCAAAGGATAATAACAGACAATTTACAGAAAAAAAGAAAAAATAAGTGGCTCCTAAACTTGTTAAAAGGTATCCAACTTTGCTCATAATGAAAGAAAACAAAATAAAACTATGGTGAGATACTATTTTTCATGGATCAAATTGGCAAAAAATACCCTTTTTTTTTTTTTTGGCATGCTCTGTTGCTAACACTGTAGAGAATCAGGTTCTCACAAATATTACTGGTGTTCTATTGAGGTTAATTTGACAACAAATATAAAAGTTTATAGTGCATTTACCCTTTGACTCAATAATCTCATATGCAGAAATTTACTCCACAGAGAGTTGCACAAAGGTGTGACAAATGAACAAGATTTTCACTGCAACATTGCTCAAAGATGGGAAACAATCCAAATACTGCTCAGCAAGGTTCTCATGTACTGATATGAAGATTTCCATGACATATTAAGTGGCAAAAACCTAGTATATAAGCATAGCGGCATATTACAGAGTACAGAGTATACTGTTTTGTATTTTAAAAGTTGGGAAAATAAGAATATATATTCGTGTATGCTTGCATTCTCATAAAGAAACAAGAAAAGAATATACATAGGAAATTTAGGCCAGCCATGGTGGCTCACACCCATAATCCCGGCACTTTGGGAGACTGTAGTGGGAGGATCACTTGAGCTCAGGAGTTCAAGACCAGCCTGGCCAATATAACAAGACCTCATCTCCACAAAATGTTAGCCAGGCGTGGTGGTACATGTCTGTGGTCCCAGCTACTCGGGAGGTTGAGGTAGGAGGATTGCTTGAGCCTGGGAGGTCAAAGCTTTAGTGAGCCATGATTGAACCACTGCACTCCAGCCTGGGCAACACAGTGAGACATTGTCTCAAAAGAAAAAAAGAAAGAAAGAAAAAGAAAAAAGAAATTTAAAGAATGATCATTGGAATGGTCTGGGAGGACAGGGCAGATTAGGAAAAGCAATGAGTAATGAAAGAAAGATTTTTCACCCTTTTTTTTTTTAGATAGAGTTTTGCTCTTGTTGCCCAGGCTGGAGTGCAATGTCACAATCTCAGCTCACTGCAACCTCCACTTCCCCAGCTCAAGCCATTCTCATGCCTCAGCCTCCTAAGTAGCTGGGACTACAGGCACCCGCCACCACGCCTGGCTAATTATTGTATTTTTAGTAGAGACAGGGGGTTCACCATGTTGGCCAGGCTGGTCTCGAACACCTGACCTCAGATGATCCACTTGCCTCAGCCTCCCAAAGTGCTGGGATTACAGACATGAGCCACCACGCCTGACCCACTCCATGTTTCAATATAGTTTTTAAAATGTTGAACCTTCTTGTTATCAATTAAACTTCTAAATTAAAATTTTACTGAATAAAATGCAATGAAAAGGAGACTCCTCTGTTGTATATAATCCAAACAATGGAAAAGATTCAGCTCTCACCTGGTTCAAGTAGTTCATTTTACAGATGAGTAAGCCAAGGCTGTCAAGGTTACATTACTTAGTAAGAAAATACCCTGAGGGCAATGAGAATCCAGGTCTCTTAACTTTTTAGCCTGAAAAGCTCTGCTTTCTGGTCACAACTTGCCTTTCCATTCATTCTCCCATCTTCCTCTTCCTCAGCCTTGGCCTCTGAGGGTCAAGCCCACCCAGCCTTACACCAGAGACAAATCATTCCCAACAGCCAGCCTCAGGAAGTCTATTGCTTAGCACTGGCCTCTTGCTTATCTGGTCCCCTGATCCCCTGGATTAAGGTTCTGGTTTAATTTCTGGCCCTCTTCCTCTTTGAAAAGACCCAGAGCCACTCCCTCCTGGGGCTTTCTAATCTCAGTGCCTGCACCCTGCTTGCATGCAGATGCTGACTACTGCTAAGAAGATCAGCTCTCTGTTGGCTACTTAGCACATTTTCACCAGAGGAACCCAATCAATATGAGAAAGCTTCTTCCTGAGTACAGAGAGTACAAGAGTAACATTGGCTTTGTGAACTGTCACTAACAGGTTATGAAATCTGATACACTCTTAGCCACTTTTAAGACATCCATCTAGCAGGAATTGAAAGGCTCCTGTCAGCCATTCAGAGCATCTGTTTCTTCTGTGAAAATTCAGAGAGCTATACACATATATGCACTTTTCTTTCTATGTGTTATACTTGAATAAAAATGATTTTTTAAAACAAACATTACACCACAAATGTCTATGTAAGTCTTTTTTGGGACTTTATGTCCTATTAATATCTTATTTTCAGCATATGTTGTTTATGTTTCTCTGTCACAATTTTCTCAGAGGCAGAATTTGTTTTGCTAATTTTTATTATTTATGCTACCAGCAGAGCATCTTGTTTGCAAATTTTGATTGGATTGAGTATAAAAATTTTGCACAGGGCCCTTAAAATATGATAGTATATGAAAATCAAACTGACCTAGAACCATCTGTATCATGCTGCTGCAGTAAGTAGTGAACCACACTGAGATCAATCAGAATCCAAATTAACTAGACTCCATTTCCTACATGGAGGTCCTGGTCCTAATCCCCCGATTTTGTGACCATGGGAGAGACACAGGATTATATATGAGCTCTCTATATTTAAGCATTTAAACAGAAGATCAGAATGAGCTTTCTCTATACTTACATCTCTGAGGTTGGCTTGAAGTACCGAGCTGATGTACGTTGGTGTGTATGCCATAATGGTATAAAAAAGCCAGTATTCACAGAAATAAGAGACTAAAATGGCCCAGAGTGGTAAGGATTTGATCATAGCCGTAATGGGAAGAGACCAGCCTGGTGAACAGTCCTAGAAGAAAGCACACAGCAATGTCCCCTCCATCAGAAGGCAGCTCTCTCTATCGCACTCTGCATCTCTGAGATGTCTAGAGGGACATAGAGAAATGTCAGAGGAATTTCTCAATGTACCTGCTGAGCCAATGAACACACAATGTATCTCTTCTCACCAGCACTGATAAAGGGATGATTCACAGGATCATCATAAATGAGAGGAAACCAGAGAAGACAACAGGCACAGCCAATTCCTCCTAGGAAAAGAGGATCCAGTTAGCACTGGATGGATGGAAGTATTTCTTTCAGTTTGACTCTAAGATGATTCCTGTGGTTGACAGAGTGACTAGCCTCAGTACTCCACTCTTCCTGGCATCTATCCCTTGCATGGCCCTATCACAGGGGGAGGGTACTTCCTCACCACCTGACTTTGGCCTTGGCCATACAACTTGCTTTTGCCAATGGCATGGAGGAGTTTCAAGCCTAGGCATTAAAAAACATTTTTTTTTAAACTTATCCTCTTGGGTCTTGTGCACTGCTATTGGAAGACTATGCTCCAGCTCATCCTTTGACCAAGGCAGATGACAGACACAGACAGTGGAGCCACCCAGCTGTCCCACAAAGAACCACAGGAATAAATGATTATTGTTTTAAACCACTGAGTTTTGGGAGGTTTTGAAATGCACTATTATTAAAGCTATAGCACACTCACAAGTTAGTAGCGTGTTTCCACTTGCTTGAAAATGCCCTCACCATTCACATACCAGTCGGCATCCCTCCTGCTAGTCATGCTTTGCAGAGTTCCTTTCATCATTAAACCTTTCCGTATCTATCTCTTATCTTCCTCAAAGCACATATAAGTGAGAAGCAGTACACTATTATGTGGAATTAATTACCCAATTTCTAGACATGAAATGAAATTAATCCTCAGCAAAGACATTTTTCTGATATATACATTATTACAGAGTTGGGGATTTAACATTATCAGTATTGAGTGGAAATATGGCCCATCTTCAAATTCCCTTTTTAGAATCTTAAGAAATCTTATGAGCTCTCTTTGTTTGGCTAGCATGTCATTTACAAATTCCTTCACAAATATCATACAGCAGCCACTATACACCAGGCATTTTGCTACATTTTAAGAATATAAAATGACAAAGACACAATTTTGCCATCAGGGAACTTAATCAGGTGGGGAGGGATAGATATGAAAATTAGCAATGTTGCACATTGGAGTTGGAGGATGTTAATATTTATTCAACAAATACTGAGTGAGTTTCTATCGTGTATATGTTTCTCGAAACCATAAGCACAGTAAGATTTTCTTGTTGTTTGAATAATTTTTGTAATCTGCCCTTTGAATGTTTTCATGATAAAAACTTTGAAGGTTGGTGTGCTGTGGAATCATTACATATTTTTTTTGGTGAATATATTGACCTGATTTTACAGAAACCCTTGATCTAAGAGGCCCGCCTGCTAATGAACACACTAGTGGGACTATAAGGAATTACCATAAACAATTTAGGGGTGGGATTTTGGAGAATGTTTCAAATATTGAACAAACTTTAGCTGACAGCAGCTAGGCGGATTCCAACCACAGTTCCACGAAAGTAAAACTGTAATGTAGTAAAATACTGCCTCTGGAATTTTCCATGTGTCTTTGGAACCTTTCTGTAGCATCTCTGTGTATATTATGTCCGTTCCTGAACCTTACATAATCTGCCCTGTCCTGAAGTCTCCACTGGTTGATTCTTACTCTAATTAGCATTTTACCTATGATTAAGTCATGTCACAGTCACACAACTTTCTGGCTATGATATTGGTGCAAAAGTAATTGTGGTTTTTGCCATAATAATAACTGGAGAAATTTTAAAGAATATATTAAATTAAAAAGCATGACTAAAATGTAGTCTGACTAAAATAACTTTTTTTTTTTTTTTTTTTTTTGGTCTCTTGAGACAGGGTCTCACTCTGTCGCACAGGCTGGAGTGTAGTAGCATGATCTCGACTCACTGCAACCTCCACCTCCTGGGTTCAAGCAATTCTCCCACCTCAGCCTCCCGAGTAGCTGGGATTACAGGCATGCAGCATCATGCTCGGCTAATTTTTGTAATTTTAGTAGAGACGGGGTTTAACCATGTTGGCCAGACTGGTCTCAAACTCCTGGCCTCATGTGATCCACCTGCCTCAGCCTCCCAAAGTGCTGGGATTACAGGCATGAGCCACCACACCTAGCCTAAGATAACATTTTCAACATCTTGTGAAATAATTTGCTCTGAATTCCTTTAGGTTAAATTTAGAAGCAGTAAGGAATGTTATGATGCCTCTAATGTCATAAGATTATTCTAGCTACACACTCAGGCTGCTGAAACTTAAATGTTAAACACAGTTGACTCTGAACACTACCAGCTTTAGCTATGTAAATATCCATATCTATTAGGATTTGGTTAACCATAGATAAATTGCATCACAGAATTCTCTGTCATTAAAAATTGAGATTTGAAAAGCAAACTCACCAAAGATGTAGAAGACATAAGGCCATCCTATAGTCTGGCAAAGGAGACCACCAACGAGTAGAACAATGAAGGACCCCAGCATTGACCCTGAACAGAAAAAGTGAGGATGTTCTGGGTGAGAGGACCCGTCTTGGGGCTCTATGTGCTTTCTACAATGCTGAGTTGCACAATGAGGGAAGGTATGAGTTTCAAGTCAAACTATCTAGGTTCAAATCCTGCTCCTTCACTTGGTAACTATGTGATCTTGGACAAATTATTACTCTATTTGTGTCTGAAATTCCATATATGTGAAACGGAAGTAATTATATACAGCTGACTTATAAAATTGCTTTGAGGATAAGATGAAAATAAGTGCAAAACATGAGAATGTTTGGCACATAGTAAGCATTCAGGTCATTCAGTCACAATCAAGAAAGGCAGTATGGGGTAGTGCTTTAAAGCAAGGACTATGAAGACAGAGTAATTGATATATAAGATCTTGGTTCTATTGACAGGACTTTGCTGAGTTCTCTTGGACAGTGCATATAAAGTGGGGTTTAGGGTATCAATTACCTGATCCAGCAATGGTGGTGAGTTGACTCCTTTCCAGTGGGGGAGCCCATTTGACCCAAATTGAATATTGACCAGTTAATACCATAACCTGGGGGGAAAAATTCCATTCTTGAAGATCTGAGGTCATTCTAGAACCTATATTCTACTTATACCTGGAAAACATCTTGGTACCTGGGCTATGCCTTGTACAATCCGGAGGACAATGAGCAAGGCCACTCCTGCATTAGCTGCCAGTGGAATGAAGAGGGTCAGGAATGAGGAAATAAACAAGCCAGCACCAACCACATACTTGGCTCCAAATATTCCAGCCACATAGCCACTGGGGATTGGAGCCAAGAATGAGCCATAGTTGAGGGAGCTGAGGATGATTCCCTGGATTTCAGGACTCCAGTCATATGCAGGGGCCTAGATGACAAAGAGAGTTACTGTTTGTCTTTAGTTGAAGAATTGACAGTTTTCATTGTGAGGCCTTGAGGCAAAAAAATCAATTAGCAGTTATCTTTCTTTTTACATCTCTTCAGTTCCCCCAATATACCAGTATCATGTATTTAAAATATATGCCCAACATACTCTTTCCGCTCACCCTGACATAATTAACCAAAAATTAAAATATAAGAGAGCTCATAAAGAAACAAAGGCTATAAAGAAGAAAGCATCGTAAGCAAGGTAATTAAAAAAATATGTGGAAGGAAGAGAAAGCGGACAAATCTGTGAGACATATTTTGTACAGATTTTCATCATTGTAGGGGAAGAATTTATGTCCCCTAAATGGTAAAATTTTTCATTTATTCTAACTTAGCCCCTGGTTACACTCATAGACACTAAGTAGTGACGCAATCCCCTTAGATACTTATTATGTTCTTTATTCCTTTCTTTTCTCTTCTTTTCTTTTTTTTTTCTTTTTTCTTTTTTTAAGACAAAATCTCTTTGTCACCCAGACTGGAGTGCAGTGGCAAGATCTCTGCTCACTGCAACTTCTGCCTTCCCAGTTTAATCAATTCTTCTGTCTCAGCCTCCAGAGTAGCTGGGATTACAGGTGCCTATGACCATGCCTGGCTGACTTTCATATTTTTAATAAGGATGCCTCGGCCTCCCAAAGTGCTGGGATTACAGGTGTGAGCCACCATGCTTGGCCTGATACTTAGGTACTTGTGCCATTCCTGGCACATAGTACATGTTCAGTAAATACTTAGTGGTTAAATGAATCTCACTCTAAGTCTTTAAGTCAAATAATTTGAGTCAAAGAAAGAGTCCAGAGTCTCACTAAACTTACCATTGCTTTAAATTCTTTTAGAGTTTCATTCCAGTAGTCCTGGGAGTCAGTGGAGGGCCGTTCTGTGGAGGCATTGGGCTGGCTAGGTGGAGCTGTGTTGTTCACCATAGCCGGAATGGCAATGCTCAAGTTCATTTGCTGGGTGTAAATTGAAAAATTACAGAGCTGCAAGATGAGGGCCAGCCCATGTCGGACTGAACAAAAGCCTGAGAGGAGAAGGGCATGCAAAGTCACAATCAGAATGCTTTTCTCCCACTCTCCCTAAGTCTGGAAGAAGGAAAGGATTGGTATCTGTCTGAGATGCAGAAATACAGAGAGAGAGAGATTCCTCTGTAGTTGCGTAGTGGACTTCTGTCCCCCTGGGAGGTAATGGGGGAGGTGGCTCCCTCAGAAGCATTTCTCAGACAGAGACTTGAAGAATGTGTGGAGTTGGTCAGAACAAGCATTAGGGGAGAGATTTTCAGGCAGGGCTCTGGGATGAGAAGATTAGAATGGGAATGGGAAGAAATTGATTTAGAGAAAGAATTGGCTGGGAGCAGTGACCGATTGGATATGGACAGTGACAGAAAGGAAATTGCTGGAAACGACTCCCAAGTTCCCTGCTTGGGCAGCTGGGATATCTGAAAGTGCCATTTATAACCAGGAAACATGGAAGATTAGCTTGTCTGGTGCTGGGAAGAGATGAAACTTGAAAGATAGGCGATAGTTAGATCATAGAAGTATTTAAACTTCATCTTAATACTATAATCTATGCTTACACAAAATTTGCGAGTGTTCTATAGGAACTCTGGGGATATCCCTGTGGTTGAGTCCAAATACATTAGTTTGACAGCAGCGGGAAGCGTTCATCCACTATCCCTGTAGAGAAATCCCAGAGGTAATGTATGATCACAAGGTATGAAGATGCCATTTTCTTGGCTCTGAAAGGGAGCAAATGTTCTTGGAATGAACAGCATCGTTTCGTTTTGTGTAGTAATGCTCTTGCTAAGTTCCAGCTCTTACCTTTGGTTCAATTCTGAGAGCATTTAGTTCCTCATCCCCAACCCAGCCAATGCACCATCCATGAAAATCTACATTGGAATTTTGGTCAGTCATATTGATATGACAGATTAAATTCAGAAGGATTACCACATTTATAGTATTGTCTTCCAGTCAAGAAGGGATACCTACCCATGTACTAGTATTGATCTTTTACTCAGTCCAAGGTGGAATTTTATAGTTATTTTCAGTTAAGGCCTTCACAAATTTTGTAAAGTACTTTTTATTGTTGTGTAACTGAGCTCTTTTTCCTATCATTTTCATTAGGTTTTTCCCCATTGGGTTTTGATTTAATAAAGAAAGACAAATTATGTATAAATAATGAAAAGTGTAGTTGATTATGTTTACTGTTTGCAACACTTATTTCTTTCTCCTGGGTAATTTAATTCACTGGTATTTTCAAAAAGATGGACAAAACAGGAATGGTAAGAATGGGCACCTCAGCTATATTTGCATTTACTGAGACTGCTTCTCACATTACACCATTAGGTATGCTGCTGGTTGTTGGTATAACATGTCCTTTAATTATATTAAACTACTCTGTTACTACCTTTAAATATTTTCATGGGAATACATAAGTTTTATAAAATGTATTTTAATCCTGGAATCAGACACCTGCATTCCAATTCCAGCTTGTGTGTTCTACTTACAGCTGTGTGTTCTGGGGCAAGGTACTGAGTTCTCTGTGGCCCCCAAATTTTGCCTGAAAAATGGAATTAATAATAGAGTCTACATCAAGGCACTGTGATAACAACTGAATAAGTTTATGTAAATTCATTATAATTATAATAGCCTACCACCTTTGTATTATTGGGATGATCTCTTCTTATTCTTAATAGGCTATTACAAAATTTAAAAATATGATGTATTTGGCTAGTGTTTTAGCTAGAATTTTATTTAGTATGTATAGTTGAGCTTAAAATGTTGTTTATGTATATATGTATATATGTGTGTTATTTTTTGCTATACTAGCTTTTTTTTTTTTTTTTTAAGTTATAAGTTTCCATCTCAATCTATGATCTGAAATGTTTTAGGTACATAGCCATTTTTCTTCTTAATAAAGTTTTGATTTTAGAACAGTTTTAGATTTATAGAATTATTGAGTTCCTCTATATCTCACACAAAATTTCCTCTGTTATTAATATCTTATGGTGCATCTGTTGCAATTAATAAACATACAGTGATATATTATTAACAACTAAAGTCCACAGTTTATTCAGCTATCTTAGTTTTACCTAATATCCTTTCTGTTCCAGAATCCCATATAGAGAACCACATTACATTTAGTTGTCATGTCTCCTTGGACTCTTTTTGTGTATGACACTTTCTCAGACTTACCTTGTTTCTAAAACGTATTCTAAATACCTTGTAGTCGAAAATGTCTAAAGACCTTGATAGTTTTGAAACGCACCAGTCAGGTGTTTTGTGGAGCATCCCTTAGTTGAAATTTGTCTGATATTTTTCTCAAGATTAGACTGGAATTATGTGTTTTTGAGAGGAAGGCCATGGAGGTAAACTGCCATTCTCGTCACATCATATTATGGCCACACACTGTCAACAAGGCTTCTTACTATTGAGTTGATCTTGGTCCCCTGGCTTGAGGTAGTGTTTGTCAGGTTGCTCCACTGTAAAATTACTCTCTTTTTTCTTTTTCTCCTTTTAATGTTTTGTATGAATTAATATGTACAAATGTACTCTGGAAGAAGTCACAAGCACCAGTCACACTTAAGGAGTAAGGAGCTAAGTTCCATTTTCAGAAGATAGAGTGCTATATATAAACTATTTGGAACTCTTCTGCACAGGATAAATAGGCATTTTCTGCTCCTTAAAACTCTCATATAATTTTTCTAGTGAAACTACTAGAATATATTTGTTTGTTTCTGTGTTTTAAAATGAATAACTTTTTGACAAGTTTCATTTGTTAGATGTTTTTTGACATGTATAATTTTTTTCTTTATTCAGATTATAAATTAGAAACATAAAATGTATAATTCCTAGAAATCATAATTTCTATAGTTATAATTAAATTATATTTAAAATATTAAATTTTAATAAGTAAATTATGATTATATAATTAAAGTTTTTATAATTATAAATTTTAATTTCTAGAAAATCATTTACTTATGTACTTTCCCTATAATTAGCTTTTATACATTTTCGATGCCTCTGTCTCTTATTTTCTCATAACTGCTTGTATTTAATATCTCTGCCTGATTAATCTGAGTAGTGGATTGTTTTATTGCATTGAGTGGCATCTTCTTTTATCAAAGAATCAGTTCTTGTGTATATTTTTAATCCAATATTTTAACAATTTGAGTTCACACTATTTTCTACATTTAAGTTGTCTATTTCATTTTTCTATGTAATTTCCTTAAAAGTTGTAGGCTCAGTGAATTGGATGTTTAATTAGTTTTCATTTTTTATTATACAATCTCTGTTTTCTTCCCTTTTTCAAATCTGTCTTCTCCTTGCTGCTGCTAATTCCATTTTAATTCCGCACTGACATTTTTTTCCTCCTTTGTTTCCTTTCTCATCTATATTAGGGACTTCTTCCATATTCTTCTGTTGATTTACTTCCTACACTCTATGCTTTATTATTATTATTCTTATTGTCATTGAGAACTTTAAGAAATTGAAAATGAAAATATTCTTCAATTTCCCTGTAATAATATAAGCACAGCAGTGTGATGTAAAGGCTAACAACAGCTGATTTGAATCCAGCTGCTACCTCTTTATGCCTGGATGATTAAGATGTGTTACTTCATCCCTCTGTGCCTGAGCAGGCTCCTACAAAATGGGGATGATGCTAGTAGCACTTTCCCTGAAGGATTGTTGTGAGAATTCAATGAATTAATACATACAAACTGCTTAAAACAGGGTCTAACATACAGCCTGCGCTCATTATGTGACAGCTATTATAATGAACTGTGATCTTTCATAAGTGTACCTGTTGATTTCTCTTCTATCTAACACATGCTTATTCTTTCTATGTAAATATGCATATTTACGTAGGTTCCTTGTAGTCCACCCCTACAGCCTTGGACTATAAAAGCCAGTCGTGTGTGATTTTGTTCTCACATTTTGAAACCCCTGCACAGGGCTACCCATGCTGGTTTGAGGCCCAGCTATGATGCGGTGGTATATGTGGGTGGGCTGGTGGCAGCAGGTGGGGAGGAGGAGGTAGGAAATTCCTTCACCAATTCAAGGGAAGCTAACTACTGTTTTAATTAAGCTAACTACCATTTTAATTCTGCAATAACATTTTATAATTTGAGAGAAAGTCTTCCAAATTTCCAAGTTGATTTCTGCAATCATTCATATTTTCCTCTGCTTTGTAGCACTGGTCCCTAATGCTAAATTGCAGATCAGAAAGGCCAGTGAAGCGTGAGGGTAAAGCTGCAGAACGTGGGCCCATGCATGCTTCACCCACCACATCCCAGCACTGTAGACCCTTAAGGGGCTCATGGGGTCTGTGGTCTGCCCAGCTTCTAGACACTGCCACTCCAAGCTGGGCAGCACGAGCTGAAGCTCCACAGCATCCTCTGTGTTCTTCCTGTAACACTGCACTATGCCTCAAGGATGGGAGTTTTATCAGCTCTTGGCTCCTCTCTCAATTTCTTCCAAATTGTATTAAATCTGTCTGCAAGACTTGGAGTTTATAGTGTGTGGTAGGAATAATTCCTTAGTTTCAACCTAGATGGAAATACTTTCTCAAGTGTTGTGCTTGTTTTACTCATTTCCACGGCTTTCAGAAGGGAGTGCTATTGTAAATGGGCCTTCTGATGGCATTCTTCCCCATGGAGAGGGGCAATATGTCTTCCCTGCAGGCATTTGATATGGAGAAAGGACACTGTCCCTGATATTGTTCTCAGTGCCTTTCCCACCCTTCTGTGGTCTCCACAGTAACAGAGGCACAAATATCTGGAAGCTACAATCCTCAGGATTCCATTCAGATTCCACAAATGAGGACATTCTGGCACAATGTGTCAGGCTGAACTCAGTGAGAAACCACTATGCTCTGGAGGCAGCTGCAGGTGGATAAGCGAGAATCAGTCATGTTAGACATGGGATTTCTGCCTGTGACTTTAGGGGTCAGTCTCAAAAACATCCACTTTGTGATGCACATGGCTGGGATCATTGGCAGTGTAATGTCCCAGATTTTCTGAAAGTAACCAACCTGACTTTTGCTTCCCTAGCCTTCCAACATCTGTGGAATCTTCCAGTTCCCTATATTAATCTTTCTTCTCAGAAATACCTAGATTTGCTTTTGATTTTGTGATATAACCCAGACTGATACAGAAGCTCATGGACCTCTGGGGGAAAGCGGGATCAGAAGGTCAAAGTGATGTCTGTCTCCAGCCCGGCCCCAGAAATCCCTAACTGAGCCTGAGAGAGAAAAACTACTGATCTTCAGGCAGAACCTGAAGGCCCAGCTTTTTTCACTCAAGGTTTCTAGGTTATTGGAGCAGTTCCTTTGTGTAACCAGGTGACCAGATAATGGGGGAGGGAGCATTTCTCCACATCCCATGGAACACCTGGATTCAGCTCACTAAGTGTCTTAGAAGCACAGCAAAGACATCAGTAGCCTTTGGGGATGGGAGTACTGGTACCCAGAGAAAGCCCCAGTAGTGCCCTGGGAATCTGATACAGAAGATCCAGCCATGCCCAGTAAGCATGAGCCAGAGAAGGAGATGAGAGGAAAACTGATGTTGGACACCAACAGACAAAGCAATCAGCAAGGTTTATTCCTAAGCATTTGTGAGAAATACTCATATACACAACAAAATAACTTGGTAAGGCTTGGAGGAGTAGCTGGGGTTCTGCCTTATTAGGTAGGATGAGACTGCCAAAAAAGGATGAGTGTTAATAGCATGATGCTGTTTGAAACAACAAGCTGGGGTAAAGTTGGTTACAAAGTTGTCGTCCAGTATAGCTATAGCTCAGAGTGGTCACCAGAGGACTGGGTGGCATGGTAGGCCAGATGTTGTAGGAGACTATAGAAGAAACCAGGAAGACCATAGGGGTTCCACTTTAGACAAATTATAGATGAACTTCCCAATGACTGCCAAAAGGTGGGCTGAGGAAGGGACACTATGTGAGTGGTAATAATGAGCTCAAAAATGGCAGAATCAGGATTGCAAACTCAAGCATTATGATTTCTGACCTGTGCTTTTATCCAGTATGCCATACTATACCTTGGTAAAATTTTACTCACAAGTTCTTCACATTACCAATTTTGAGGGAGAGACAGAATGATAAAATAATTTGGCCAATGGTATAGTCTAGTAGACTCTGAAGTCCTTAGAAACAGATGAGACCTTCAGCCAAGACTACTGGAACAGTATTAATTCTGGGTCCAATGGTGACTAGTTGTAGGATGAATACTAATATGCAAATTTCCTGATTTCTTCTGTGATGGATGAGATTAGGAGAAATCTCTTTTCTAGAAGATATGCATAATTCTTAACAGACAAAACAGACAAACTGGCTAAAATGTTGAGTATTACAAAGCATTCCATCTTGGTTAGTGTTTTGCCTTTTAAAGGCATTATCTTATGAAATGACTATATCCTTAAAAGAATTAATGGATAACATAGTCATAACTCATTAAGCATTTAGGGTAAAATAAGATGTTCTACCGTTTCCCTTAATGCATATTATAAAAAGCATGATATTTTAATATAGATAAGATAAAGGAAGAAAGGTGACTTCTATGACATGGTAGAAACAAAAAGCCTATTTTGGGATCGGGGTCAGGTTTGGATTTAACACGAGCAGAGAGAACCAATGGGACATGTCTTGAGCTTAGAATCAGACAAGCCAAGGTTGGTTTCTATATTTCCTACTTAGAACCTGCTCTGATTTTTTTCCTTCATCTCTAAATAATGTCATGATACCTGCCTGTCTTATATACTTTCAAAGTTTCTTGTGAGAAATGAAATAATTATCAATAACTATTTATAGCCATATAGAATTCTTGGCAATTGGTGGTAGTGAGGAAAATGATGTGTATCAACAAAAGATGCCACAGATCTTAGTTTTATTTACTAACACAAGTCAAGGTGCCATAGATCCTAGTTTTATTTACTACCAGATTACTGTGCATGATTTTACCTTTCCTGGAGCATTCCTCTTGAGCCATATTTAAATTGCCATCATTGGAAATGTCCCCCACTGTAGCTTTGACATCTGGTCCAGAAGACATTTTGGTTCTCTCTTCCCAGGGACTGACATTTACTTACTAAAATAAAAAGAATGCAAAAGCAAATATAGAGAGAATCTTAAATGATACCACCCCAATTCTTTCTAAGAACTAGGAGCAAATGTTGTTCTATAAGAAAAGTGCTAGATTAGGGTTCGTGAAAACTAATTTGTCATCCTGGCTTTATCACTAACCAATTGGTTGGTCTTTGAAAGGTCGCAGTTTACCCTGGGTCTTAGTATCTGTGTCTCACAAGTGAGGAATCTGGCCTGGATTGCCTTCATAAATTGTGATATCCTTTCTAGTTCTGTGTTCCCATGTCTCTAAATTGATATTAGTATTAAATGGACATGAAAAGTTGACAACCTTATTTGCAATTTCATCTAGGAGATTCGAGTGGATTAAATTACCTGGAGAACTTTTATAACCGCCTATACATATTACATAAAATATAGCAAACACCCTTTTACATAGCTGCAAAGACAGTAAGAGATACATCCATCAAGTTAGATGTCTGTGCTAACTTCAGTGACCATGAGATTGGGGCACAGAAGCATCAATTTCAGTGATGTGGGGGCTTGAGATCTAAGCCCCTGTGGGGATGAAGGATGAAGCCGTAGGCCCATGCCAGGGAGGCGATTATAAGGGAGATTCTAATATACAGTTAGATGCCTCAAAGGGGTTCAAAACTTGGTTAAAGAGGCTCTTCCCCTTTCAACAATAACAGTGACAACCCTCTTTGTCCTGAGTTGTGGTTTGAAAATAAAGTACTTCACCTGAAAACTGTGAAAGTTCGTATCTAGGTTATGGAGAATTGAGGGTTAAAATTCATACTTCCTTCATTGTCTGAGAATTCATGCCCAGCTAAAAAACTGACCAAAGAATCAAGCCCAGTCTGATTCGCTCAAAACAGATTACACAGAATTACTGCACATGAAGCTCTATATATTATGAGCCCAAAATAAAAAAATATAAACACTCAAAGAAATGATCCATCCAAAACAAGTTTTCAGACTCAACGCATAGCAAAATTAAACTACTGAGAACTTCCAAAAATAGAATAAACTGACAAAGACATTACATAAGTATGCTTTAAATAATTGAAGAAATAAAATATGGACCCTAAAACATAAAAAGATACCAAAAAGAACAGGCAGATTTAAGAAAGATACTACTTGAAATACAAAAATAATTAGGCATTAAAATTTTAAACTAAGTGACTAGACATAGCTAATGAAAGAATTAGCAAAATCAAAGGCAATGAGCTATGTAAATTATACAGAATAAAGCTCAGTGAGATGATGAGGGATGACAGCAAAGTTAAGAAACTGGAAAATGGAGTGAAAAGGTCCAATGTATGTTGAATAGGACCTCTAGGAGGACAAAATAAAGAGAATTGAGAAAAGGCAATACTTTAGGAAATAACGAATAGGAATTTTTTAGAATAGATGAAACCATAAGATTTCTCAGATTCAGGAATCAAAATGAGTCTTAAGCTAGGGAAATGAAAAGAATCTACACCTAAACATATTTAAGGATACTGTAGGACACGAAAAGAACAAAACTTATTTATAGTAATAGATATCATAAAAGATGACTTGATAATAATAGATACCATAAAAGATCACTTTTAGAAGGGGAGAAATTGATTAAAGCATTCTATCAGATATGAAGTAGTATTTGTTCAACTTCTAGCTAATAAAAAAATAAAATGCAGTAAATTGGTAAAAAGTAGGAAACTATTGGAATGAATATGAATATAGATTAAGAACAAACATGGGAAAATGTGCATCACTTCACTATCAAGGACATGGATATTAAAAGAACAAGATCCTATTATTTCTTACCTATTACTTTTCTTTCTTTTTTTTTTTTTTTTTTTTTTTTGAGACGGAGTCTGGCTCTGTCACCCAGGCTGGAGTGCAGTGGCCGGATCTCTGTTCACCGCAAGCTCCTCCTCCCGGGTTTACGCCATTCTCCTGCCTCAGCCTCCGGAGTAGCTGGGACTACAGGCGCCCGCCACCTCGCCCGGCTAGATTTTTGTACTTTTTAGTAGAGACGGGGTTTCACCGTGTTAGCCAGGATGGTCTCGATCTCCTGACCTCGTGATCCGCCCGTCTCCGCCTCCCAAAGTGCTGGGATTACAGGCTTGAGCCACCGCGCCCGGCCACCTATTACTTTTCATAAACATTTTAAAAGACTGTTACCACCAAGCTTAGTCAAAAATGTGGGGAAATGAGCTATTATTTCAGGAAGTCAAGCTGCATCTTCTCACTTGTATTGCTGCTTCATGGTGTGTACCAGAGACTAATAGGCATAGCCACACAGAATAGTATGTTTCAGGACACTCTTTAAAGCAATATTTGTAAAAGCAAAAAGTCAAGAGCTAACTAATGATTATTTAATATTTGCATAATTAAATGCAGATATTTTCTGAATACTACACGGTCATCAAAGAATTGGATACATATATAAAAGCATATAAAGATTTAAAAGACAGGTAAACAATCAAGCATCTACAGTTTTCAAGAGACTTACCTAAAACATAAGGATTCACATAAACTTAAGGTAAAGAGGTGGGAATAGATATTCCACGCAAAAGGACACCAAAAGCAAGCAGGAGTAGCTATTCTTATATCAGACAAAACAAACTTATAAGCAACAGCAGTTGAAAAAGATGAAGAGAGACATTATATAATGACAAAAGGACTATTCCAACAGGAAAATACCACAATCCTAAATATATATGCACCTAACACTGGAGCTCTTAAATTTATAAAACAATTACTACTAGATCTAAGAAATGAGATAGACAGCAAGACAATAATAGTTGGGGACTTCAATACTCCACAGACAGCACCTGACAGGTCATCAAGACAGAAAGTCAACAAAGAAACAATGGACTTAAACTATATCCTAGAACAAATAGACTTAACAGATATTTACAGAATACTCTACCCAACAACTGCAGACTATACATTCTATTCATCAGCACATGGAACATTCTCCAAGACAGACCATATGATAGGCCACAAAACAAGTCTCAACAAATTTAAGGAAATCAAAATTATATCAAGTACTCCCCCAGACCACAGTGGAATAAAATTGGAAATCAACTCCAAAAGGAACTCTCAAAGCTGTGCAAATACATGGAAATTAAATAACCTGCTCCTGAATGATCATTGGCTCAACAATGAAATCAAGATATAAATTTAAAAATTATTTGAACTGAACGACAACCGTGACACAACCTATCAAAACCTCTGGGATACAGGAAAAGTGGTGCTAAGAGGAAAGTTCATACCATTAAATGCCTACATCAAAAAGTCTGAAAGAGCACAAATAGACAATCTAAGTTCACACCTCAAGAAACTAGAGAAATAACAAACGAAACCCAAACCTAGCAGAAGAAAGGAAATAACCAAGATCAGAGCAAAACTAAGTAGAAATTGAAACAAACAAACAAAAAAATACAAAAGATAAATGAAACAAAAAGCTGGTTCTTTGAAAAGATAAATTGCCAGACCACCAGCAACATTAACCAAGGAAAAAAGAGAGAAGATCCAAATAAGTTCAATTTGAAACAAAACGGGAGATATTACAACTGATACCAGAGAAATACAAAATATCATTCAAGACTACTATAAACACCTTTACGTGTGTAAACTAGAAAACCTAGAGGAGATGGATAAACTCCTGGAAATATAAAACCCTCCTAGATTAAACCAGGAAGAAATAGAAACTCTCTGTGCAAAGGAATGGGGAGGGCAGGAATGGCCATGCAGGAGTTGAACTTTGTCTTTGTTGTTTACATGTGTGACAACAATAATGTAATTTGAATTATTACTGTAATTAAAAATAAATTTCAGGGACACAGGTAGGCTGAGATGAAGAAGGTGAGTGTTTTAGAGTCAGTTGCTGGTATTCTCTGTCAGATATTCATTTTCACTCCAGGAAAGAAATGAGGAGGGCACTGCCCCATCACTTCAAGTCAAATGATAGGAGCTGCCCGCAAGGGGGTCATTCAGGGAGCTTGACCTATGTCCCTTATGTATGTGTGCTTGTGTGTATGTAGAGGTGAGTGACACATGCCTCAGAATCTAAGGGCATGAGGTGGTGACTCCTGGTCTGAGGCTGCAGAGCACAGCAAAGGTCTACACCACACTGGAGGCTGTGATACATCCCACAGCAGCAGGGCTGAAGATGCACAGGTAGAGACCAGCAGGTCCCTTATGAACCAGATACGGATGACTCAGGAAAAATCCAGTTTACAATCTCTTAAAATGAGAACTGTCTGGAGAGGCCACATGACCCCAAAAGAGAGGACAGACTGCCTGATGCCCAGCACCTGAGAAAGGAACCCTAACTGCTGAGTTAGTGAACACATATCACCCCTGACATGGGAGGACTAGTGGATGCCACCACTGGGGTACAATAAAGGATTCAGCATTGAACATTCATCCAACCCAGAGACCACCAATGCAAGGGCACAAGAGTTCCGGCTAAGAAAGACACTTCCTGCTTCTTGCTTCTAACTCCCTACCCACCAGCCATGGAAAGATCAGAAGCGACAGCTAGCAAGAGGGGTGAGAGTAGTTGCTGACAGAGAAAGGGAACAAGAAGCCAACCAAATGATCCCTTCCCTCCCCAGAACCAAGCTGGAGTGGTGGGTGGCGGGGCAGGAGAATGAAGGTTTACTTTTAGATCAAGTTGGAAATTTTCTGGTTTTCGTTGGACTGGATCCATTAATTACAAAATGAGATTATTTGAAGACTACAAATAAACAATAAACCCATTACTACTGAAAATGATCAGAGAAGTTACAGCACCGAGCAGATATAAAGTTACAGCACCAAGCAGATGTAAAGGGATACGATGAAGTTACAACACCAAGCAGACGTAAAGGAATAAAATGTAAAGGGATAAGCAGTAGGTGCTGGTGAAATGAAATCATTTTCCACGTGCTCTCTGTGAAGGACTCTTCTTATTAATATAAAAGAAAA